TCAACACATTATTAACATCAGCAACTATATTGCACATTATTGTTGAAAAATGCACTTTTACCATAGAATTCTTACATATTTGACCTGAATATTTATAAAAACTGATATTATAATTTCTATCACATGTGATACTGTATAGTGCAACTTGTGTTTATGTCACGAAATCTAAAGGTTTCCCAACAAGTGATGGTCAATTATCCTGTTTATCTAACACAAGATACTTAGTCCAAATATAAAGACACAAGGTTTACCAAGTGTCTTTTTTCAATTTGAAAATTAACTAATGAGAGTAAGATAAACATGATAGCTAGCCATCACAAGTATGGAGACCTTTTTTCTCCCGTAACGTTCAAACTCTGTCTGAAAAACCATGTTCATCTTACATTAGAAATACACGATCCCTGGTCCCGACCGGGGAATCCATTGCCACTACTCATAACACAAGAAAGGAAGACGCGGGCAGAAAGCATTGTAATGTGACATCATAATTAGACAGGCCAATGGAATCACATCCTGGTTGTAAGTGAGTATGGGAGAATTGGAGAGTTGATAGCAAAGCAATCTATCGAGTGAATATTTACAAAAATCTAAACTTCTTTACCTGTTTGAGGCACAACTCATAAATATAAATATTACAACAAGAGGCCCAATGGGCCTGCATCGCTCACCTGGTATAAAACTCACACTTGTAACCTTAAAAGTGATCTAAAATAAAGCTACAGGCAAAATATCAGTATTTATGATTAAAATTCGTTCAAAAGACCCTGTTATTTTTTTTTAAAAACATTTCACCACTGTGATTGAAAGTCAAACAAAGTCATTATGTTGAACACATTGTATAGCCTTTCATCTCAGGATGAAACTTGCAAAGTATAAACATCCTGGGACCCATGGTTATTCATAAGAGGTTGTTTAAAGATTTTAAACAAATTTGACCCCTGTGACCTTGAATATAAGTCAAAGTCATTCACTTTAACAAACATAGTAGTCCTTGATCCCAGCATATGCTACTAACTAAATATCAACATCCTGAGCCTTTTGGTTATTCAGAACAAGTTGTT